TGTCTCCTCTCCTTTGCTCATGATTTGTAGGTTTGGTTTTTGGTATCTCTTTGTGTTTCTTTTCTTTTGTTTTTGTTTTTGTTTTGGTCAGGTCATGGGGCCTAAACTCTGGGCCTGGGCACTGTCCCTCAGCTCTTCAGCTCAAGGCTAGCCCTCTACCACTTGAGCCACAGCGCCACTTCCGGCTTTTTTTCTTTTTGCTTATGTGGTGTTGAGGAATCGAACCCAGGGCCTCATGTAGGCAAGGCAAGCGCTCTACCACTGAGCCACCTTCCCAGCCCCTTCTTTGTGTTTTTTTTCTTTCAGTTCTTAGAGAGGGACTTGAACTCGGTACCTGACACTTTCACTGATTGGCTCTACAAACTGAGCCATGCCTTTAACTGGTCATGTTTCCTCAATGTCTTTAGCTGATTGATCTAATTACTCTGCTTTATCTTTGGTCTCTGATACTGCATTTTTAACTTGCTCTGTTCTATATAGCATCTAGGCTTTTGATTGAGTTTTTTCCTTTTAGCGATGGAGCTCTTTTCTTCGAAAATGTCAATTTGATTTTTTTCAAGGCTTCTATATCTTTATTGAATTCTTCTTGCATATCCTGAATCTTCCTTTTTATTTAATTCTGCTGTTTTGAGCTTAGGTATTTGTTTGCCTCCCCTTTGAATTCATTTAGGTGTTACACATGCTTCTGTGGCGTTGTTTCTCTTAGAGGTGTTGCCTTGTTTATTCATTAGTTTTGTGGATTTATATATATCAGGCCAATTTTTTTTTTTGGTCAGTTGTGGGGCTTGAACTCTGGGCTTGGGTGCTGTCCCTCCCTCTTCAGTTCAAGGTGAGTGCTCTACCACTTGAGCCCAGCGTCAGTCACTTCCAGTTTTCTAGTGCTTTATTGGAGATAAGAGTCTCACGGACTTTCCTGCCTGAGCTGGTTTTGAACCATGATCCTCAGATCTCAGCCTCCTGAGTAGCTAGGATTACAGGCGTGAGCCACCAGCACCCGGCATGGGGCTAAATCTTTAGGGAGAAGTTTCTGTTTATGATTTCTCAGAGATTATTTAGGTTTGAGTGGTAGCTGGCTTGTGGTGTGTTTTCCTGTTAGTAGTTTGGAGGAGCGTGGTGTTAACAGCCCTCTGCTCAGGGTGAGCAGGCTTGGCTGTAAAAGCTATGGAAAGTGATAAACCACAGCCTGGTGTTTGTGGTGATTCTTAATGAAGACCAGTCACCACCACGGATGTAGAGTCTTAGATGAACACGAAAACATTGATGTATCTTCATTGTCTAGGAAAACTGTAGCCATGCTGGGCGGGAGAGGGAGACAGGGGAGTGAGTGCTAAGGAATTATGGAAGGCCTGTGGTTGTAGCGGAAGGAAGACCTGGCAGAAAAGCTTCATAGAAGAAGTTACTGAGAGTGTGGAATGAGGTAAGTGGAGAAGATCTAGTTAATGTGGTGAGAGACGGAGGGAGGGTGAATGAGAAATGAAGAAAGTTCAATAGATAAACACAAAAATCAGATGGGGGGGCTGGGAAGGTGGCTCAGTGGTAGAGCGCTTGCCTTGCATGTCTGAGGCCCTGGGTTCAATTCCTCAGCACCACATAAGCAAAAAAGAAAAAAGCCGGAAGTGGTGCTGTGGCTCAAGTGATAGAGCGCTAGCCTTGAGCTGAAGAGCTGAGGGACAGCGCCCAGGCCCAGAGTTCAGGCCCCACGACTGGACTAAAAAAAAGAAAAAAATCAAATATAGGCTGGGCACCGGTAGCTACACCTGTAATCCTAGTTATAGTTACTCACAAAGCTGAGATCTGAGGATCACAGTTCAAAGCCAGCCTGGGCAGCCTCTTAGTGCCAATGAACCAAGCGGTACAGTGGCTCAAGTGGCAAAGTGCTCGCCTTGAGCTGAAGAGCTGAGGGACAGCGCCCAGGCCCAGAGTTCAAGCCCCATGACTGACAGGAAAAAAAAAAAATGACCGAGTAGGCAGGTGTGGTGAGTTAGATCCAATGACTGTAGGGAGAAGAATGAGAGGTACCGCAGAGCTAAAATCGGTACACACAGAAAAAAGCAGTACAGACAAATGAATGAAAAAACCCAGGGCCTTACGTAGGGCAAACTGTGAATTTTTAATTTTCCCTCTTTCTGTCTGGGACGCGCGCTGCGCACCTGCACGCACACCTGCGGGCGGAGGCGCTGGGCCAGGCAGCAGGCAGCACACGGAGCCGGGCCCACAGGCCTCAGGAGCCGCAGTGGCTTGTTGGGGGCGCAGGCCCTCAGCCTCCCTGCTGCCCTGCTGGGCGTGTCGGGCTGCGGCTGCTTTCCACATGCCCACGGCAGCCGCCCTGAGCAGCGGCCGCGGCCCGCCGCATGCCACCACAGCCCCTCCATCGCTGCCAGGCGTCTGGGCAGCTGCGGCTGGCGTCTGAGCTGCCCGGGCCTTGCCCGTGGGGCCCTGTGGACGCCCCTCTCCCTTCCCTGCCTGGGTGGGTGCGGGGGGTGCGGGACTCTCTCGGGTGTGGATGCTGAAGTACTGGAGGAGCACACGCCATCCATGCGGGCATCTCCCATCGGGCCGAGGGACCGGAGAGGCCGGGACGCACCGCGGGCAGGCAGCCAGGCATTGGCGCTCTTCTTAGTATGTTTGACAGATTTCACGAGGGAAAAGTCGGTGTGCAACCAGCAGAGGTAGGAAACAGGTGCGTGAATAGAGCGGAGGTGAATGCCATGCTTTATTCTTCATAGAAATAAGACAAGAGGGCCGGGCGCCGGCAGCTCACACCTATAATCCTAGCTACTCAGGAGGCTGAGATATGAGGATCTCGGTTCAAAGCCAGCCCAGGCAGGAAAAGTCTGTGAGACTCTAATCTCCAATGACCTACCAGAAAACTGGAAGTGGTGCAGTGGCTAAAGTGGTAGAGCACTAGCCTTGAGCTGAAGAACTGGGAGACAGCACCCAGGCCCAGAGTTCAAGCCCCATGACCGACAAAAAATAAAAAGAGAGAGAAAGAAGACAAGAGGGAGGTGGGCAAGGAGACGCTGGGAGACACTTTTCAGGAAGCAGAGAAATAGTCGACGGTACAGCTGACAGGGCGAGCCTGCTCTCGCAGTGATCACAGTGATCCATCGCCGGACTGCACTGCCTGCAACACCTTACAGCCGATGATCCCGCCCTGGACTGGTGGTGAGCGCGGGAATGAGGTGCGTTCCACAGGGCAGCTGCGTGGACGGCTGGGCAGCGCGCAGCCTGCTCCGGGACCAGCAGAGGTGCACCAGCAGAGGTGCACAGCTAAAGCTGGTCGTCCAGGAAAGGGGTGGAGCCTGGCTCTGACACCTGACCCGGCCCCCTGGGAGTTTCCTGCTATACCAGCCTGGCTCCCTGGGGGCCGCTGTATGTTATAGCCCATGTAGCTATAGTCAAACTGTGCTTCTAGAAAGAACATATCCAGCTGGGCGCCGGTGGCTCACGCCTGTCATCCGAGCAGCTCAGGAGGCTGAGATCTGAGGATCATGGTTGTTGTGGTCGTGGTGCACCAGGATCTGGTGATTTTTTTTTGTTTTTTGGTCGGTCATGGGGCTTGAACCCTGGGCCTAGGCGCGCTCTACCACAACACCACTTCCAGTTTTCAAGTGGTTTATTGGAGATAAGAGTCTCACAGACTCTCCTGCCCTGGCTGGCTTTGAACTGCGATCCTCAGATCTCAGTCTCCTGAGTAGCTAGGATGACAAGCGTGAGCCACCAGCGCCCGGCCCGGTGGGTTTTAAAATGCATACACATATTTTTCACAAGAGACTGAATGTATCTGAACATTTAGTCTTTTATGAAAAATAGGGTGGTAGCTAGGCATGGTGACCATGCCTGGAGTCCCGGCTGTTAGGGACATGGAGACAACAGGAGGATGGAGAGCATTAGGTCAGCCTGGTTAAGCGAGTGAACCCTGTCTCAAGGGCCTGGGGAACAGCTCAGTGGTAGAGTGTCTTCCTGTCACGCTGCAAATCCAGGGTTCGGGTCCCCAGTCTCTCTCTCTCTCTCTCTCTCTCTCTCTCTCTCTGTGTCTCTCTGTCCGTCTGTCTGTCTCACACACACACACACACACACACACACACACACAGAGTGACCTGGCCATGACCAGTCACGTTCTCCAGGGACTTGGGGTCTTGACGAAGACCCCACCACTCCTACTGTCTGTTAGGACCAGGGTTTGAAATGATTCATTTCTGTACTTACTCTATGCCTTAAAAAAACACAGTGGAGAATATCTCCATTACCTGCTGCTCCTTTAGAAGGGGGAAATGTGCAGAGGCTCGAGGCCTCCAGGCATGGGGAAGGGGTCTTCCCAGTGGGCTTGCCGATGGTAAGCCCCACCCCATGGCGGCCGGGCACCAGAGGCTGGAGGGGGCAGGGACACCCCCCCCCGACTCCTGGCCCTGGTTTCTGGCCTTCTGGCCTTCAATGCGGAGTCACCTGGGCAGCCCAAGACCACCACAGGGAGCCAGAGGGGCTCGACAGGAACACGTAGGATCGGAGCCCCCGGTGGGATCCACACGCTGTGATGACCGCTGTGCTCCTGCGGAAGTCCCCCTGGGGCCAGGCTCCGTGGCTTACACCTGGAATCCCGGCTAACCTGGGAGGCAGGAAGAAGACTAGCTAAAAGGTTATCAGAAGCCATTTCAACCCATAACCTGGGCCTGGTAAGAATAAAACAAATGAAGCTGGCTTTGCACCTGGAGACAAGCCCAAACCTGGGGTCTCTGAACACCTAGGCGTGGTGGCACGGGGCTCTGCTGGTGCAACTCCGGGCTCCTCCCTCACCTTCTCATTCCAGGCTCTGGAGAGTCAGCTGAGGGGCTAGCGGGGGCGGCGGGCGGGGGGAACCGGGACCTGGGCTCCTGGTGGTGTCTGGGGACCTTTTCCTTCTGGTGTACTGGGGTTTGGATGCAGGGCTGTGTGCTTGAATCCTACCTTCCCAGGCCTTGTGCTCTGGCTGTTGTTGAGATAGGGTCTCCCTTTTTGCAGGCCTAGTCCTTGATCCTCTTGTTTATGGAGATGGGGGAGATGTGCACCGCTCCACTTAGTTTCTTCTCTTCTGTCAGGGTGGCTGACAGCTGGCGACCGTTCTTCCGGGACCTGGAGTCCTCGCGATGGCGGAGTCCTGAGGGGACCAGAGCCGTGCCCCAGGCTCGCTCCTCCTGACTTCTACCACAAGGACTTTTGGTGTCTGGTGATGAGTCCTTTTGCAGCCTGACTTTCTTTCCCCACGCTTTGCGAGGACATTTTCTTGTCTTGGATTAGCCTCCTCCAGATCTCCCGGGTGTTTCTTGTAAATGTAGCAAATGGATGAAATGTTACCACGCAGCTCTGTAAGCCCCAAGGCAATCCCCCCACCTCCGCTTCTGTTTAATTTCTTCCACAGAACATAGTGAATGTGTATGTGTGCGTGTGTGTGTACGTACGCGTGCGTACTGGGGTTTGAACTCAGCGCTTCTCACTCTGGCTAAGCTTTTTGGCTCAAGGCTGGCACTCTACCATTTGAGCCATTCATTCTCTTTTTGCTGGTTCATTGGAGATAAGAATCTCACCACAGGCTTTCCTGATGGGTCTGGCTTCAAACTTAATCCTCAGCTCTCAGCCTCCTGAGGAGCTAGCATTACAGATGTGAACCTGGCTTAAAAAAAATACACGTGAGGGGCTGGGAAGGTGGCTCAGTGGTAGAGCGCTTGCCTTGCATGCATGAGGCCCTGGGTTCGATTCCTCAGCACCACATAAGCAAAAAGAAAAAAGCCGGAAGTGTTGCTGTGGCTCAAGTGGTAGAGCGCTAGCCTTGAGCTGAAGAGCTGAGGGACAGCGCCCAGGCCCAGAGTTCAGGCCCCATGACCGGACCCAAAAGAAAAAGAAAAAAAAATACTGGTGAAAGCAATGTTCTGGCTGCCACACACGAGTGTGCAGCCTGATTCCTGGCCCTGTAAGGATGAGGGGAGCTCATTGTGCGTTGAGTGATAACGTAGTTAGTGGCAGGCGAGTTAAATTTCGGGGTCGCCGGCCTTTGTGAGGGGGAGACCGTGTGAATATTGTATATTACAAGAGACAGAGTTTAGAATCAGTTCATCTGCTTTTCATCTTTAGCACACGTGTGTGCAAGCGTATATGTGTGTATGTGTGCAAACACGCACACACATCTGTGTGTATGTGGGTTGTACCCCAAACATCATCAGACCTTTGACCCACCGGCTATTTTTGTTTGGGGGTTGGTTGTGGGGCTTGAGCTTAGGGCCTGGCACTGTCCCTGGGCTCTTTTTGGTGGAGGAGAGTGCTCTACCACGTGAGCCACAGCTCCACCTCTAGATTTTGAGAGGTTAATTGGGTCTCAGACCGCAGCCACTGGCGCCGGGCTCAGGCGGGGGACCGCGGACTGGCCGGCCTCGGGCAGGGGCGGGGAGAGGAGGGGCCAGCTCAGGGCCTGTCCCTGCTCAGCCACCTGGGATGTGGTGACCTGTGGAAGGCTCTGGGCATCGGGGCCAGAGGCCTCCCAGGCTGGCCGGCGTGGGGGGGTCACTGTCCGGGTTCTTAGGGGTCCTTCCAGGACGGGCGCCTGGCTTCGTGGAGGCCGAGCGCTGGGCCCTGGGGTGCGGGTGGCAGTGGAGCCCGGTGGAGGGGAGGCGGCACCGGCTGCTGCGCGTGGTGGCCTCGGGAGCTGGGGGGCCTGGCCGGGCAGACTGCCTGGGAGCCGGTACGTGTGTCCAGTGTGCATGAACACACATGACCAGGGAGTGTGTGTGTGTGTGCCTCTGAACTTTGGGCGAGCCTGCTGTGTGCGCAGCGTGTGCTCCGTGGACGCGTGGAGCCTTTGTATGTGGCGTGTGCTCTGTGGACGCGTGGAGCCCGTGTATGTGTGTGTGGCATGTGCTCTGTGGATGCGTGGAGTCTGTGTGTGTGTGTGTGTGTGTGTGTGTGTGTGTGTGCAGCATGTGCTCTGTGGACACGTGGAGCCTGTGTGCGTGCAGTGTGTCCTCCGTGGATGTGTGGAGCCTGTGTGCGTGCAGTGTGTCCTCCGTGGATGCGTGGAGTCTGTGTGTGTGCAGCATGTGCTCTGTGGACGTGTGGAGCCTGGTGTGCATGCAGTGTGTCCTCCGTGGGCGCGTGGTTCCAGGCTCCAAGCTGCTCTGGTAACCATGGCAACCCATGCTCCGGGGCCTGGTGGCGGCGGCTCTGGGCTCTGGATGGCCGGGGCTGAGGCCCGTGCCTGGTTGGCCCATGCAGCAAATGCCCTCCAGGGGCACTGGGTGGAGTCGGCTGGGCTGGGCCTCGCTGCGCCTCACTGGGGCCTTTGTGGCCCTCATGAGACAGAACTGCTCCTGAGGCTTTGCCTTCCCACGGGCATTCTAGGTGTGAAGCCATGGTATGGCAACCACCTGGAAGGGTCCCCTCTGGAGCCCCCCCAGGGTCCCCCTCAGCACTCCCCAGGGTCCCCCAGCACCCTCAGGGTCCCCCCAGGTCCCTCTCCCCCAGAGACCCCCAGGGCCCTCGCTCCATTCTTCCCTAAAGAGAGGAAATGAGACCTGGAGGAAGCAGAGTGGTCCTGAGGGATTTCACTCACTGTGTGCATGCACGCACGCGCGCGTGTGTGCACGCGTGCACAACCCCCCTCCCCCCAGAGGGGAGAGACAGAGAGACAGAAACAGATGGAGAGAGAGGAGAGAAGGAGATGGAGAGAGTTGGAGACCTAAATAGACAAGCCGGGCGCCGGTGGCTCACGCCTGTAATCGTAGCTACTCAGGAGGCTGAGATCTGAGGATCATGGTTCAAAGCCAGCCAGGGCAGGAAAGTCTGTCAGACTCTTATCTCCAATAAACTACCAGAAGTGGCGCTGTGGCTCAAGTGGTAGAGTGCTTGCCTTGAGCTGAAGAATTGAGCGACAGCGACCAGGCTGTGAGTTCAAGCCCCATGACTGCCAAAAATTAAAAAAAAAAGAAATAGAGAGAGAGACTGAGGAGAGAGGAGAGAGACTGAGAGAGATGGACAGACACAGTGAGACAGGAGAAAGAGAGGGAGAGAGAGAAACAGAGAGAGCGATGGAGAGAGAGGGAGGAGGAAAAGAGAAGAGAAGAGAGAGGGGCAGAGGGAGAGAGCCCCGGCTGCGGGGAGGACCAGCTTGGATCTGCCCACAGCAGCTCTTGGGAGCGAGCGGAGCGGAGCAGCTGGCCCTGCAGGACTGGGCTTGGAGAGGCCCTGCCCGCGGCCTCCGGCCCTGGCTCTGCTGCCTCTTTCTTCTTTCTTTTTCACACTAGGAAGCTGGGCAGAGACTAGTATTCATTCATTCATTCATTCATTCATTCATTTGTTTGTTCATTCCCTCTATCCAGCGTGAGATAGTGCAGCGAGCTGCCGCAGCCTGAGAAACACTTCTGCAGTCAGAAATGCAGACTCTCAGGCCCAACCAGACCTGCAGGTTCAGGTGTGCGTGTGCGTGCGTGTGCATGCCTGGATTAAAGTTGTGCATGGGTCAATGTTAGACCTACTGATCAGGGCAGCAGCAACGCCGATGCTGGCTCCGGGATCCCTGCCCCAGGGGACCCTCAAAGTTCTGCTCCTGAAGGTCTTTGCTCTGCACCGCTGCTCTGGCCTGGTGCAGCCTGAAGCAGGCCAGCTTGAACCTGCCCTGGGCTACAGGCTCATGGGAGCAGGGCCGGCCTGGGAGGAAGAGGAGAAGGGAGAAGGGAAGAAGGAAGCGGACAGAGAAAATGAGGGCAGAGAGGGGGAGGAGGAGGGAGAAGGATGAGGAGAGAGGAAGAGAGAAAGGGGGAGGAAAGGGAGGAGGGAGGAACAGGAAGAAGAGGAGGAGGAAGAAGATGGGGAGGAGGGAGAAGGAGAAGGAGGTAGAGGAGGAAGATGGGGAGAAGGAGGGAGGAGGAGGGAAGAAGAGGAGGAGGAGGACGATGGGGAGGAGGGAGGAGGAGGACGTGGAGGAGGAAGATGGAGGAGGGAGAAGAGGAGGAGGGAGGAAGAGGAGGAGGAGGAGAGAAGGAGGTTCAGCATTCCTCACTGCTTCAGGAGCTGCCTGAGAAAGCCAAGCCCAGTGTTGGGGAGCCCAAGAGCGCCCCCTTCTGGGGAGAGCGCGTCACTGACGCTAAGAGGCCGGGCCTTCTGACAAGGGATTTCTGTGTACCGCGGTGCGCCCAGCCACACAGGGTGATGCCCGGGGCCCTGTGTGCCCCGCTGGCCGCGCTCGAGCCTGCCACACGGAGGAGGCCACAGGGCGCTGGACACCACAAGGCTGTGTCCAGTGCTGCTTTCTGTAGGATGTTGCACACGGACTGACGGTAGCCTGACTTCTCGGAGCTTGCTGGGCCAGCATCTAGCAGAGCCCTGGATGCAGACGGGGCTGTGGGAAGGGCCCAAGGTGTCTGGGAAACAGCCCACCTCTGCGGAGGTGGGGGGCGGCCTGGGGCTGCTGGCCCCGGGGAGGCTGGCTGCCCCATGGGAGTGGGGAAGGGGACACAGGCTGGAGTGGGCAGTGTCCGGTGGTCTGCAGCTGGCTGGCTGCAGCCAGTCACCTGCACTATTATTATTGCCATCACTATTACTAGTGCTGGTCCCGGGGCTTGAACTCAGGGCCTGGGCACTGTCCTTGAACTCTTTTGCTCAAGGTTAGCTCTCTACTACATGAGCCACAGCTCCAGTTGTGCTTTTTTGGTGGTTAATTGGAGGTAAGAGTCTCATGGGCTTTCCTGCCTGGGCTTTGAAATGGGATCCTCAATTTTGAGCTTCTTCTTCTTCTTCTTCTTCTTCTTCTTCTTCTTCTTCTTCTTCTTCTTCTTCTTCTTCTTCTTCTTCTTCTTCTTCTTCTTCTTCTTCTTCTTCTCCTCCTCCTCCTCCTCCTCCTCCTCCTCCTCCTCCTCCTCCTCCTCCTCCTCCTCCTCCTCCTCTTCCTCCTCCTCCTCCTCCTCCTCCTCCTCCTCCTCTTCCTCCTCCTCTTCCTCCTCCTCCTCCTCCTCCTCCTCCTCCTCCTCTTCCTCCTCCTCCTTTTTTGGTCGACTGTGGGGCTTGAACTCTGGGTCTGGGCGCTGTCCTTCAGCTCTTCAGCTCAAGGTAAGCACTCTACCACTTGAGCTACAGCGCCACTTCTGAGTAGTTAATTAGAGATAAGAGTCTCACAGACTTTCCTGTCTGGGCTGGCTTTGAACTGCGATCCTCAGATCTCAGCCTCCTGAGTAGCTAAGATGACAGGCGTGAGCCACTGGCGCCCAGTCCCACTATTACTTAATCAATATTTTCTTTAAGTCAATTCATTCTTTCCAACATTTTAAAGGAAAAGAAAAAGGGAACCACTGAAAAAAGTGGGGGACAAGTAGCAGTAACCAAAAAATCGAAGGTGGGCAGAAAAACAAATTGCAGGCAAGCGGTATAACTTGTAAACATTCTGCCCTTGTATTCATTAAAAAAAAATCAGTTGTGAGGCCTGAACTCTGGGCCTGGGCGCTGCCCCTCAGCTCTTCAGCTCAAGGCTAGTGCTCTACCACTTGAGCCACAGTGCCACTTCGGCTTTTTCTGCTTATGTGGTGCTGAGGAATCGAACCCAGGGCCTTGTGCATGCAAGGCAAGCACTTTTCCACTGAGCCACCTTCCCAGCCCCTGTTGTCTTCATGTGTTTGCTGTTGTAAACACCGACGTGATGAGTCCAGCTGAGGCTGTTTCAGGCTGCGAAGAACAGGGCCGTCTACCTCAGCTGTGGGGATGCGTTTGGCCAGCTTGGGACCTTCAACTTGAGGAACAAGAGGAATGGAAAGCTGAGCGCCGGTGTCTCACATCTGTAACCCTAGCTACTTGGGAGGCTGAGATTTGAGGATCCTCGTTGGAAGCCAGCCTGGGCAGGAAAGTGTGTGAGACTCTCAGCTCTGACAACCAGCAAAATACTACCAATGGAGGCATGGCTTAAGTGGTAGAGTGCCAGCCTGGAGCAAAAACCTAAGTAAGACTGGAACACACACACAGAGAAAGAAGGGCTGGCGATGAATTTAAAGGGAAGCTGGGTTCTCAGAGCCTGCCGGGAGGGGCTCGTGGCCCCGATTTCTGTGCGAGCCACACCTGATCTAAGCAGCTTGTGAGTATTTGGTGTGCCCTGTGAGACAGACACAGCGAGTTTCTTTTCTGTTCTTTTTTTTTTCTTCCAGACAGAATGTAGGCAGCCCATTTGGCCTACAACTCCAGATTTTCCTGCTTTCGCCTCCCATGTGTTGGGATTATAGGTGTGCATACCCGGCTGTGGCTCCTAGTTTTTTTTTTTTTTGGGTCCGGTCGTGGGGCCTGAACTCTGGGCCTGGGCGCTGTCCCTCAGCTCTTCAGCTCAAGGCTAGTGCTCTACCACTTGAGCCTCAGCGCCACTTCTGGCTTTTTGCTTATGTGGTGCTGAGGAATTGAACCCAGGGCCTCATGCATGCAAGGCAAGCACTCTACCACTGGGCCACCTTCCCAGCCCCTGTGGCTCCTAGTTTTAAGAGGAAGAAATGATAACCCAGAGAAGTTGACAGCTTACCCTGGGTCACAGAGCCAGTGAAGGCTGGAGTGTGGGTGTGGGAGCCGGTCTTGAACCTGCGCTCTGCTGCTCTGGGTTGTACAGCCACATGCATGCATTTTACACACAGACGGGCAGCTAGTGCTGGCGGGTGGGCCTGCTGCAGCCCTGGGCAGACGCAGGGGCCAGGGCCCGGGGTTGCTGGTGAGCTGCCCGGCCCTGGAGGTGGAGAGTGTTGTAGAGACAGATTATTTCCCATCTGTCCCTTTGGTAAGTCCAGGAGTGACTGATTGCCCACCTCTGTGTGGGCCCAATCCTCAGACACAGATGGCCAAGGCTGAGCGAGCAGTCATGGTGTTGGGGGTCAGTGGTGGTGGTGTGTCTGTCTGTCGCAGTAGTTGTTAGTGTGGGTCAGTGCAGTGCTCCACATTCTGCCCTCCCGTCCATCACCTCTGTCCGCCTCATCTCTACCAGTCAGGGGAGGCAGACTCCAGAGCACTGGGCCTCAAGCGATCCCACCTCGGCCGGCTGGGGCCTGGACACGCAGCCAGAGCTGGTGTGGAGCGCGGGCTCTGGGGTCCAGGGTGCAGCTGCAGCCGCCATGGGCCATTCCACCCATGGTTCTGGGGCCAGGAGCCTGCAGCCCAGGGCCAGGCCTTTTGGGAGGAGGCAGCCGCTCCAGAGACTGCGATCTGCAGGCTGGTGCAGGAGAAGGAGAGGAGGGGGAGAGGAAGGGGAGGAGGAGGGGAAGAGGAGGAGGGGGAGGGAGAGGAGGAAGAGTGGAGGAGGAGGAGGAATGGAGGAGGAGGAGGAGGAGGAGGGGAGGAGGAAGGGAGGAGGAGGAGTGGAGGAGGAAGGGAGGAGGAAGAATGGAGGAGGAGGGGAGGAGAAGGAAGGGGGGAGGAGGGGGAAGCGGAGTAAGAGGAGGAAGGGAGGAGGAGGGGAGGAGAGGAGGGGAAGAGGAAGGGGAAGGGAGGAGGGGGAGGGGAGGAGGAGGAAGGGAGGAGGAGGGGGAGGAGGGAGAGGAGGAAGGAAGGAGGAGGAAGGGAGGAAGAGGTGGAGTGGAGGAGGAGGAGGAGGAATGGAGGAGGAGGGGAGGAGGAAGGGGAAGGGAGGAGGGGGAGGGGAGAGGGAGGGGAGGAGGAAGGAGAAGGGAGGAGGAGGAGGGGGAGGGGAGGAGGAGAAAGGGAGGAGGAGGGGAGGAGGGGGAGGAGGGAGAGGAGGAGGAGGGGGAGGAAGAGAAGGAGGGGGAGGGAGAGGGGGAGGTGGGTGAGGAGGAGGAGGGGGAGGAGGAGGGGGAGGAGGTGTGGGAAGCAGGAGTGGGTGGGGCCACCCTGCCGTGCCCTGGCCCCAAACCTGGAGCCTGCGTGGACACAGCTGCCATGGCCCCCAGGCTTCGTAGGCTCAGGGCTCTTGCCAGCAGCATTGCTGGGTGCCCCCGAAGCCCACGTTCCGGAGAGCCGCGCTGAAGGCCCAGTGCCACAGGGGCTGACCACTGAGGCCCTGCTGGCCTCCGGGCCGGCCCCACCGGGCTGCCCCGAGCCCTGCCAGGCTGCCCTGTGTCCCCACCCCAAGCCCCGCCGGGCTGCTCCTGCCCAGCCAGGCCGCCCCTGCCCAGCCAGGCCGCCCCATGCCCTGCCAGGCCGCCCCATGCCCTGCCAGGCTGCAGCGCCTTGTGTGCAGCTCAGGCTGCAGCGCCTTGTGTGCAGCCCCTGGCCTCCGTGGGCTGGCGGACAACACTGGCTCCCTGTTGGAGCATAAAGAACCCCTCCTTTCTCCCTTGTCTTCTGTTCAGACGCAGAACCACCCTTGGGCCGGCCTGGAGCGCGCCCCGGGGCCTCACCGCGCCCAGGAAGGATCGGGGCCCTGCGACGGCCGGCTGCCTCCAGGAATTAGCGATTTATTTATTACCCATCTGGGCAGCTGGGAGTCTGCAGGCAAACCAGCAGCCTTTGAGAACAAAGTCCCCGTCGAGGGGGCTGCGAAGGGCCTGGCAGTTAGTGATGGCCTCCCCTTTCTTCCCACCGGCTTGGCTGCGGCCAGAAGCCGTGCCAAGGACCCTCCTGGCGGGGTCCCCTACCCTGCCCTGTGTGTGGGCGCTGAGGGCTGTGGGCTCGTGTGCGCCCCCTCGTGGCGGCAGATGGAACTGCGGCTTCATGGGAAGAAAGGTGGTAAATCTGAGCAGGTGGGCTTACTTCAGCCCTGGAGCGGCCAGGTGTGGGCTGGTGTGTGTGTGTGTGTGTGTGTGTGTGTGTGTGTGTGTGTGTGTGTGTGTGTGTGTGTGTGTGTGCGTGTGTGTGTTGGACAGAGACATTGGGATAAGCTGGGAAAGCAAGGCCCCATCCACGTCTAGTTGACACCCCAGGGCTGGAGACCCAGCTGCTGTGGGTGGCTGGCGGGGGGCTTCCTGGAAGACCAGGTGCCCTGTGTTGGGCTGAGAGGAAAGGGCGGGCAGGGTGAGGAGGGAGAGGCAGAGGTGGGGGAAGGAGGGAGGGAGGGCGTCGGTGGTGGGAAGGGGGCTGTCAGGCCTTGGAGCGGCCCCTGGGCTTCTGGGAGGATCCAGGTGAGTGTAGGAGGGGTTGGGGCCAGGGTGGAGGGCTGGCTGGGCCTGCGGGGCCTGACGCCCCAGCTCAGCGCGGCGGGAAGCTGGCCTGAGCCGCGCTCCAGCTGGTGCGTCAGTCCTGTGTTTCTAGAAGGAAGGAGAGATTTCCTTCTGCATTGGCCAAGCACCGGGACTGCCAGGCAGAGCCGGGAGGCTGCCCTGCCGGGCGGCTGGTGACTCCTAGGTCATCCCTAGCCCTCCCTTCCCAAACAGCACCCTGGGAGGCCAGGTTCCTCCCTGCCTGTGTGGAGCCGGGCCTGGTCAGGAGGGGGGCGGCCAGGGGGCGGGGAGGGGACGGCCGGGGGGGGGGGGGAGGGGCGGGTCGCCCAGGCTTTGCGGGAGGGCGGCACTGCCCGCTGTGCTGGCCTTGGTGCTGGGAAGTGATCTCCACGTGGGGGCACAGTGCTGGCTGTGGGGGGCTGGCTGGGGGGCCCAGCAGTGCTGTGCTGTCCTCAAGGCTCCCTAGGACGGGGTGTGGGGGGGAGAGCAGGGGCTTGGCCTCCTTCTCCCCCTCTCTTCCTCCAGCTTCTGGGAGTCTCACCTGGACCTTACTGGATTTTGGCCAAAAGGACCAGGGCTCCCAGCAGCGCCATCGGCAGGGGGGGCGGGCGGCGGGGCAGGAGTGGGGCGGCTGCGAGAAGCCAGAAGGTCCAGTGAGGGGGGAGGGGCATTTCCCTGCCCCCCCATTCCTCCACAAGCGCCAGGGTCCCGCCCCCCCGTCCCCCCAGGGCCCCTGCTGAGGCTCGCGGGGGGGGGGGGGCAGGGGGGGGAGGTGACCGGGTCCAGGGCTCAGCTGGGAGCCAGGAGGAAGGGGCCCTCTCACCCGAGCGGAGTGTGGGCCGCAGGACGCCGGGGTCCCCATCATTGGGCTCGGGCTCGATGCCCAGCAGCTCACACATGAGCGCGTACACGTGCACGCTCTCGAAGGGCTCCACCTCCAGGCCGGCCTTGAAGCTCGGGCCCACGGCCCGGAAGATGGTCTTCATGTCCATGTCGTTGTTGTCGAAGCCGTGTTCCCCGTTGTTGAACTGGACGTTCACTCTCTGTAGGGGGGACAGGGGGCCCGGGGCCTTGCGGGGGGCTGCGGCCTCCAGCACCCCCTCTGCGCGGCACCCCCTGCAGGCGGGCACCTGCATGGGCAGGCCGCGCTGGGCGGTGATAGGGACTCCCGCGTGGCAGAGTTTCTGAGGCTCAGTTTCCCGGAATTCCGAGACCCCCGCAATGAGTCACCCCCAGAACAGCCTTGGTGAAGAGCTGACCCCGAGTCCCCGCAGGGGGGCTGCAGGTCCCTTCTGGGTTCCTGTTGAGAGGCTGTGTGTCCTTCTGGGGTCCTCTCCCTGCTGGGTACCGCTTCCCATCCCCTCCTGCCACCTGCCGTGACTGACTTCCCACACTTGACCTTGACACCAAGGTCATAAACGCAAGTCTGGAGACCAGCTAGACAAGTGGGCGGAGGAGGTGGGTCACAGCCTGCCATCCTAACTACTTGGGAGGTGGAGATGAAGAGGGTTACAGCTCAGCCAGGGTAAAAAAAGTGACCAAGACTTCATCTCAATAGCAAAAGAGAAGAAGGAAAGGAACGCAGGGCTGAGAACAGTAGCATGCACCTGCCACCCGGTCCCTCCCTACGTCACTCAGGGAGGCCTGACGCAGGCTCAGACCAGCCTGGCCGAGGAAAAGGAGGCCCTACCTAAGAAACAGCCAGAGCCAAAAGGACGTGGTTCAAGCGGTGCAGCATTTGCTCAAGGCAAGCGTAAGGCCCTGAGTTCAAATCTCTGGTACCACCAAAAAGAAGAGAGGCGACTCCGGTCCCAGGAGGAGGCGGTGGCCCCGCGGGCGGCTTACCCCGTGGATGACGTAGCCGAGGTCGCTGTACATGAGCAGGGGGGTGATCCTGGGGTGGCCGGCGTAGCGGAAGGCCCGGGGGAACTCCTCCTTCTTGTAGACGTGCAGCCGGGGGTGCGCCGTCTTCAGCGCCCCGTACACCGCCTCCAGCCTCCCCTCCTTGGGGATCAGCATGCCGTTGGGCCCGTAGTCTAAAAGCTCGAAGGCGATGTCCCGGAAGGTGAAGTTGGGGAACCTGTGGAGCTCCACCAGGTCTCCGGCCGTCTTGGCGACGGTGGTCATGCCGTGGTCAGAGGTGACGATGAGGTCCAGGCGGCCGCTGAGTCCGTGCCGTGCGATGCTGTCCCGCAGGTAGCCCACGGTCCTGTCCACCTGCCTCACCATCTCCCTGCGCGCGGCGGACTCGGGCCCATACTTGTGGCCCGTGGAGTCCGGCTCCCCGAAGTAGAGCGTGACCAGTGCCAGGTCCTCGTGGGTGAACCAGCCCATCACCGTGTCCACGTTCGCCTTCCACTCCTCCTCGTCGCTGTAATTGTGCCAGACGCCTTCCTTCCGGCTCAGCGTCACGGCCTCTCCTTGGTAGGTCACGTTCCCGCCCGGGTAGAAGAAGGAGCCAGTCTTTAGGCCCTGCCAGGACAAGGCCACGTGAAGCCACTCGGCTCCTCACCCACGCTCGGCTCAGCCCCCCGCAGCTGCGTCTCTGCGGGAGGCCGTTCATGTTCTAAAATAGCCCTTATGAAAGCCAGGCGCCTGTGGCTCACGCCTGTCACCCTGGCCACTCAAGAGGCTGGGCTCTGAGGATTGTGGTTCAAAGCCAGCCCTGGCAGGAGGGTCTGTGAGGAAGCTCTTATCTCCAGTAACCACCAAACGCCAGGAGTGGAGCTGTGACTCAAGTAGCAAGGTAAAAGCTCAGCGACAGCACCTAGGCCCGAGTTCAAGCCCTAGGACCAGCACACGCGTGTATATACACACACATTCATAAAACAGCCCTCATTCCGCATGGTGTGGGGTAAAGCCAATTTGTGGAGGAGTGCAGCGGTGGTAGGCCGGGTCCCTGGCCAGGTTGCTCCCTCCCCATCCATGCAGCTCCCCCTGCAGCCCGCCTCCCCCCACCGCCCACTTCCCTCCCCACTGTCCACCTGCCCTGCAGCCTTCCGCCTGTTCATCCACCTTCCCACAACTGCTGCTCATGTCTGTCCTGCGACCATCCGTGTGCTCCCTGCCCTCCGGCCCAGGACCAGGCACCAACTTTGGTATCCTGCACAGATGGAAGCAGGGCGATTCTCTGACTTGAGTGGATCTGGCTCTATTATTATTATGATTGCTATTATATTAGTGCCTGTACTGGGGCTTGAGCTCAGGGTCTGGGCGCTGTCCCTCAGCTCTTCAGCTCAAGGCTAGTGCTCTACCACTTGAGCCACAGCGCCACTTCCAGTTTTCTGGAGATTAGAGTCTCATGGACTTTCCTGTCCAGGCTGGCTTTGAACCTCCATCCTCAGATCTCAGCCTCCTGAGTAGCTAGGATGACAGGTGTGAGCCGCCGGTGCCCGGCTTCCCGCTGGTCATTAGCCAAGTGGGGTGGGCTCTTTGCAAACCTCTGTTTGGCCTTGAGGATAGAGGTCGTTAGGAATTAGTGAGGTTTGCCCGTTGAACGCCCCAACTCTCCTCCCACTAATCTTTGCTCCTCAGAGGCAGGGGGCGGGACTGGGAGGGATAATCATCTCACGGCTGAAACTTCCTCATGGGGTCATAGTTCTTTTCCCGTGGGGCTCCTCCCAGCACGGAGGGGTCTGAGGGGGTGGGGTTCCTCCCTCCACAGGACATCAAAGTTCTGTCCACATCACCGCCGTAGGGGGGGCAGGCAGGGCCGTGCCGGCCGGGGGTCTCCTGGGGTCACGGCCTCAACTGTCTGGGTCCCCAGGCCTCCCAGCCCGTGTCCCATGCGTCGGGCTGCAGGTCGCGTCCTGTCTCTGTCCAGGTCCCCCAGCCCGTGTCCCGTGCATAGGCATGTCTCCCGTCTCTGTCCAGGCCCCCCAGCCCGTGTCCCGTGCAGGGGCAGTGTCCCCTGTCTCTGTCCGGCCCCCCAGCCCGTGTCCCGTGCAGGGGCAGTGTCCCCTGTCTCTGTCCGGCCCCCCAGCCCGTGTCCCGTGCAGGGGCAGTGTCCCCTGTCTCTGTCCGGCCCCCCCAGCCCGTGTCCCGTGCAGGGGCGGTGTCCCCTGTCTCTGTCCGGCCCCCCAGCCCGTGTCCCGTGCAGGGGCGGTGTCCCCTGTCTCTGTCCGGCCCCCCAGCCCGTGTCCCGTGCAGGGGCGGTGTCCCCTGTCTCTGTCCGGCCCCAGCCCGTGTCCCGTGCAGGGGCGGTGTCCCCTGTCTCTGTCCGGCCCCAGCCCGTGTCCCGTGTGTGGGTCCCTGGGCCGCGTCACCTGTCTCTGGGCCGTGATCCAGATGGGCACGCTGCCGTTGTCCCACCACTGCGGGATGCCCAGGGTGGCGTGGTAGGGCAGCCTCACCGTGGTGGTGGTGTTGTAGAACATGTTGTGCACCACGCCGTGGTTCTCGATGTATTTGCCTGAGGGGGGAGGACGGGGGCAGGGGAGCCTGGCGAAGGCCACCCTTGCCTCCCCCCCGAAGCCCAGGCCCAGCGAGGACCCCCCCCTCCCCATTAGTGACCCCAGTGGGCGTTTTCCTTGCCCTCTACAGCTTGCTGCCGATGGAGGATCCTGGAACCCCCTGTGCAGGCGTGGGCTGGGGGGCATTGGGAGCCGGGGGTCTCCCCTTGGCTGCTCTCTGTGCCTGGTGGCCCAGTCCCCCTCCCCCCCCATCCCCGTCCCGACCCGACACTCACCAGTGACCAGCGTGAAGTGACAGGGGCTGGTCATGGTGACGAAGGCCGGCGTCATGTGGCGAGCTTTTACCCCCTCTCGAGCCATGGCGTCCAGGTTGGGGGTGTCCACATCCTGGTCATAGTCCCAGCGGAAGCCATCGAAGGACACGAGCAGGAGCTTGTTACGGGGTTGCTGCCTGTGGACGGGCGCGGCGGCCCCAGGAGGTGGCAGGAAGGTGACCAGAGCCCCGGCGAGCAGGACAGCCCAGGGCCTCATGTCCGGCTTTGTGGGCAGCAGGTGCACAGGACGGCGGTGCCCAGGGGAGAGCAAAGTCCCGGGCTGGCCGGGTGTCTTATCCTGGGTGCATCTTCAGAGATGGGGCGGTGTGCGGACTTGAGCCAGCCCTGGCTCCTGCCCTCCACACCCGGGTCATCCTCTGGCGCGGTCCTGGCGTGTGCAGATCCTGGTGTGTGTGTCCCGACGTGTGACCCCCTTTAAAGTCCCCAGGGTGCTCCGGGCCTCTCAGTCCTCCCTTCACCCAGCCCTGCCTTCCCTGGGATGCAGAAGGGGTCTACACTCTCTGGGGCTTCGTCCTGCCCCAGCCCTCACCCCCTGCCGGTTCATTCTAGCCCAGGGGAACTGGTGGGGGCCAGGGGTGGGGGTGGGGCTCCCTCCTCAGCCTTGGGAGCTGGAGATACTCGGGTCTGTTTGGATGAGGACCTCTGGGGTCCCTGGGCCTGGGCCAGGACTGAGAGGGCCCAAGACTGGCGCTGTGGACGGAACTGAGGAGCTGTTATGGGACTGGATGGGGAGACAGAGGGAGTGCGCGCGGAGCCAAGTCCTAATTTAAATCATGTCCAGCTGCAGGCCTGCCAGCTTGTCCAGCCTCGCCTCAGCTTCTGCAGCAATTGCCACCGCCCCAGGTGACCACAAAGGCCACTGCCCCAGGTGACAATGAATGCTACCGCCCTGGGTGATGGCAAATTCCACGGCCTCGGGTGACAACACGGAAGCCACCGGCAGCTCTGACTGCCACATAGCGGAGCTCCGTGGGGCAGGATCTACAAGGCGCAGGCTCCCTCCCTCCTCAGACATCCGGTGCCCACCCAGGCCCAGCGTCACCGCGGATTTGGTGATGCCTCTGGGTCCCGCAGGCTGACTTCCGCAAGGTAAGCCCACCTCAGCATGGAGGTGTGGGTCTGTCTCGTTTTACTTCTGATTATTTGGGTTTTCTGTCACTCGGGGGGACTTTGTCCTAGCTGATAATTGAACTCTAGGTTTGAGAGGCGTTGCTGGGTTTGAGACAGCAGGGTGAGGACACACAGAACCCCCACGTAGGGTACCAGCCTGTGGGGAACTCCAGGTTGCTCCGAGAAGATACGGGACTACACAGTCTAGCATTTGGGGTAAGAGACCCAGAAAGCTCCTCCACACAGCTGGTGTTGGGGTGGACTGAGCTGTCGGAGCAGGTAGAGGGCTTCTTAGCAGAGGGGGCAGTCATGGAGGTGAGGGACAGGGCCAGCAAGTTTTCCCTACGACCAAGTCTTCATGGCAAGATGGCTGCCAAGGAAGAAGATGCCATTTCCCAGCATCCTGTGCAGCAACGTTTTAGCCACGTGACCAGGTCCTGGCCAATGGGAGGGAAGCAGCAGTCACGTGACAGCACGCAGCACGGCTTTGCTCTGTTTTCCAGACTGGGGCTTGCTCAGGATGGCAGGCTGCGGGGAAGGAGCCTGGTTCCTTGGCTGTCCTGGGCAGGGAGTTCCAGCCCTACGCACCACGTCTTCCCAGGGAGAATTAAGCTCATGCCCGGCTTGCTCTGGGTTTCGGTCCTCAGTGACACCTTGTCCTGGCTGGTGATGGAATTCCCGGTCTGGGAAGGTGTTGCGGGTTTAAGCAGGGGCTTGGCAGGCCTGGTGGGGGTCGGGCGGGCAGGAGCAGGGACAGAGAGCCAGGAGCTCGGTGGGACCCGGTGTGGCTGGGGCTGGAGGCAGATTCGGTGGGTGTGGGGTACGGGTTCCCACTGAGGGTCCTGCTGCCCCCACTTCCGCCCTCTCCCTTTGCCAGGCTTTATGAATCTTCGTTCCTTTATAGTCTGGTATAGAATGCCGTTTTCAACAATTAAGCCAGAAAGACCGGAGCTTTCTCCCGTCACCTGTCCTCCGAGGCCCCAGGGGAGTCTTTATGGAAACTTGCAATGGATCAGTTCTTAATGTGTTTGCACTGTATATCCTCCCCCACCCCCAAAAAGGAGTGTTTTCTTTGGAATATATTGTGTGTTATTTGTTTTGGGAGGGTGCAGCAATGGGGTTTGAACTCAGGCCTTACACATACATGGCGGGTGCTCTATCACTTGAGCCACACCCCCAGCCCTATTTACGTTGGTTATGTTTTGAATAGTCTGAGGTTTGGCCTGGATTAGCCTGGGCTGGGATCCTCCTTCTGTGCTTCTCATTGGCTGGAAGTATGACTGTGTGCTGCTGCTGCTTTGGGCTTCTTGTGTTGAGATGGGTCCTGGCAGGCCCGGAACCATGATCTTCCTGGCCGCGTAGGATTCCCGCCCCGGCAGGAGTGTGTTTTCCTGATGAACACGTGTCGGTTATGATGCGTGTCACTTGCTCGCTGGGCATTCCCCGGTACAGGCGGTGTCTGAGCAGCTCCGAGGCCTGGCAGCTTGGGCAGGCCTGGTACCAGGCCTGGCACCGCCCAGGGCCGGCCCCGGTGTTGTTGATGAGTGGATGGTACTTTCTGGTTAGGCAGAACAGCTTCTAAGATACATGTCTAATCTGACGTCAGTTTTACGGTTTGAGGAAACTGCAGGGTTGGTAAGGGAGCCCCCAGCCCCCTGCCCGGCCTGCAGGAGCGTCTGCAATACCTGGGAAGAGGGGGTGGTGCCATGGGGGGGCTCCTCTCCCAGTCCCGAGGTGGCAGGGGGTGGGGCGGAGGGAGCTGGCCGCCCTCTGGGCATTCCTGTCCCCCTCAGCTCTGTCCTGGGCCGTCCGGGCCACCCCCCCCCCCCCCCCCCCCCGTGGCTGCGGTCTGGGCTTCCCTGAGGTTTTCTCTAATCACAGGACTCTGACCGTCTCCACATGGGGTTTATTAGTGACACTTTCCTTTATCAAAATTTTTTTTATTACTTCTCCGAGGTTTTATCTCAGCGGCCTCTGGGCCGAATGAGGATTAATATTTCAACAGGATTATGGGATGGAGCTGTGGCTTCGCTCCTCCAGCCTTCCTTGCCCAGGCCTGCCTGGCTGCTTTGTGGGGCACAGGGCTTTTACCCCTGCTGGCGTGGGGGGCCCGGGCTGGGTTCCCGCAGCCCCTGCCCCTCTGTCCCCAGGACGCAGGGCTCACTGGACCCCGGCCCCCCAGATCCACGCATGTCAACGGTGCTGGAGTTGGGACGGGGCCCTGCCCCCCGTTCTTTACCCGTGGGACTGGGCACACTGCTTTCTGGAGACTTGGCTGCTGTCTCGTGACCTGTGTCTGCGCTGGTGCCCGTGTGACCCTGTGAGTGGGCGGTGGCCGTGGTGTGAAGGGGAGAGAGCCAGGCACAGACACTGACGTGCTCTCGCGTAACACGCGCACAGGGGGCCACTTCCACACTCCCCCCAGGCACTCACACTGACGCACGCGTGGTGCCCCTTCTACGCCAGATCTAAGACAGCTGAACTCACGGCGTGGCGGGGACTTACCCGAGGCCGGCCACCCGCCCTTGGGCCCCCAGCGCCGGTCTCCTGGGGAGGGAAGCAAAGCCGGGGACAGGTGGATCCACACGTTCTGTGTTCTGGTAGGGTAGGGCTGAGGCGTGGGGTGCTAGTGCTCGGCAGTGCACTAGAAATACACGGTAACACTCATGACCATATGACTCAAAGCCTCGGAGAGAGGATTTAGGATATTTCTCCATAAAAATGGCCAATATTGGGAGCTGGGAAGGTGGCTCAAGTGGTAGAGTGCTCGCCTTGAGCTGAAGAGCTGAGGGACAGCGCCCAGGCCCAGAGTTCAGACCCCAGGACCGGGAAAAAAAAGAAAAAAAGGCCAATATTTGAGGACAGAGGTAAGTTTGAGATGATGTAAAACATTATGTAAGCTAGATGCCATCAGCACACGCCTGTCATCCTAGCTACTCAGGAGGATGAGATCTGAGGACCAAACTTCGAAGGAAAGTCCTTAAGACTTTTATCTCCCACGAGCCAGCGAAAAGCCAGAAATAAAGGTGTTGATCAAGTGGTAGAGTGCCAGCCTTGAGCAGAAAAGCCAAGCAAGAGTGTAGAGGCCCTGAATTCAAGCCCCAGCACACACACACACACACACACACACACATATTTTCTAATGTATGGAAACACCTTGTAGTTTTCTGCTAAGATGTGCCATTTTTCAAACTAAATTTATTTATTTATTTATTTTTTGGTACTGTACTTGGGCTTGAACTCAGAGCCTGGGAACTGTCCCTTAGCTATTTTTTCTTTTTTTTGTTGGTCGTGGGGCCTGAACTCTGGGCCTGGGTGCTGTCCCTCAGCTCTTCAGCTCAAGGCTAGCGCTCTACCACTTGAGCCACAGCGCCACTTCCGGCTTTTTCTGCTTATGTGGTGCTGAGGAATGGAACCCAGAGCCTCATGCATGCAAGGCAAGCACTCTACCACTGAGCCACTTTCCCACTCCCCTTTTTCTTTTTTTCTTAAACTCAAGGTTAGTGCTCTACCACTTGAGCCACAGCCCCACTTCCAGCTCTTTTGGAGAAAAGTGTCTCATGCATTTTCCTGCCCAGGCTGGCTTTGAACCGCCGTCCTGGGATCTCAGCCTGGGCTCTGTGCTAGTCTTGTTTAGCCTCCGGGGTTGTGTGCCCCCTTCCCCGCCCCTGAGGACGCCGGGTGGGCATCAGCCGCCACGCCACGCGCTCCGGGCCCTTGGCACGTGGTCCTGGCCAGGACAGCGCTGGTCGCACCTTGTCCACGCCCTCCCGTGGCTTCTTTCCGCTTAGCACCGCCTCACCGTCCTCCGCGCTCTATTCACAGCCATGCTGCTGTGAACTAAAAATCAGCAGCAAGGGCAGAGGCTGACCTCGAGGCCCTCCATGAAAGCCGCTCACCTTGGGGCTCTGCCCATGCGGGCCCTGACCTCGGGGACCCTCTCCGGCATGTCGGCACGGGCCGGCCCGGTAGGCGGGGCGGCCGTCCGTCAGGGCTGTGTGCAGAGGCCTCTGCACCCTCCTGACCCTGTGCGTGGGGTCCTGCCGGGAACGAGGCATTTGACAACTGCCGGGCCAGCTGTCTGTT